CAGCCACACTGCAGCCGAACTATTACCGAACCACTGATAACTTGTTCCTAGCAATAATTTATACTAACCAACACAGTTTAGCTAATCAGCTCCGCTTATTCGGTTAAATTCACTGATATCTGAATGGAGATTCTGACTCTTATACTGTATGTTAACGAGCAGCTTATCATGCAGCGCGTGCACCGGATTCAGGGGCGTGCACAACAGCAGTTTCTAACGGATCTTCTCTATTTGATCACGTGCACGCGAAGAGGCGCGCGGAAACTTAAACCTGCTAGTCGTTGAGTTAGCTGATAGTTAGCCGTTAGTTAGCTCTGCAGACCCGCAGTGGATCAACTCTGACGGTACTGGACCCATCTGAATCCCCGGGGAACTAACCCGGTAGTAAACGGGTAGTAACCCCTCAGAAGCCCAGTTTAGCAATTTAAACAGCCGTTAACTTAATCGGTAGGAAGCAATTAGCTGTTAGCTCTGCCGTTAGCTTCAGTGATCACCGATAACTTCTCAGACCCCAGGAAGAACCAAAACCAAACATAGTTCTGACAAGTTAAGAGTAAAACACAACCGAGAAAAGTTTACCTGCTGCCGAAGATCCGAACCGAACCACTCCCGCCACTCGGCTGTCAGTCGGTCATCAGGGCGGGACGCTATCTGGGAAGAACTATGGCGGCGGCAGCTTTTCTCATTGGTTCAGACATGATGACGTTTGCAACCATAAGAGTAGACCCCACCATTGACGGTCGCGCCGAAATTACGGCCGCCATCTTGGGGAGGTCAACCTGCTAAAACCAGCAGGTTAGGAGAGCAAATTACAGCAAATTGTCACAGAAATGTGAACCTTAAAAAGTGTATGAAAATAACAAAGTAAGTAACAATTTAAAAAATAAATAAGCAAAATAATGTACATGAAATGTAATGTGATGAACAGTGTTTTTACAAATATAAATACCGTGCATTTGAAGAATATCTAATAAATTTTTGCAGTAAGTTATATATAGAAAGTTACACAATATAGAAAGTTACACATTATATATATATATATATATATATATATATATATATATATATATATATATATATATATATATATATATACCTTTATATATAAAGGTGTGTGTATACCTTTATGTGTTTTGTATAAAATATAAATTTTATACTATATACAAAATGACATCCATTTTATACTATAAGAAAAATATAAAAATGTATGAGTGGCGGTGCTTTGCATCATACATACATCCTATCAGAATACTCTATTACTCTGAACTCCCCTAAGAATATTTAAATAAATATATATATATATATATATATATATATATTTTTTTTTGTCCAATATCCTGCGAGTTAAAGTTGATTAAAATAGATTCTGTTCCTGTTCAACAGATTACAGGCCGGAGCTATCGACCGCCCCAAGATGGCGCCACCACATCACGTCAGGGCTCATGTCTGAAACCACCTACCGCTCTCCCGACAGCGCCCCCTGCTGCCCAGCCCATGATCTATAAACAGGGGATCTAGATTAGAACAGGAATGTTCTTTAAACACAACCTCTACAAAAAAACAACTATTCCTGATTATTATCGTCCACAGGGAAAAGGCCTGAATAATTAGTTAACAGTTTTACTTCCCAATTTAAACGAAAGAGGCACATTTTAAGATAATTAACCTCTTGATCTTTGGAAAATCGGAGCAATAGAAACTTTTAGATCTTCGATATAGAACAGTTCACTTTAACTTCAACTGTCACACATACCTAGAGTTACAATCATTAAAGTACTAATGAACATAGCCATAATGGAAAGATGTTTTATAAATAAATCTGTATTTTATTCTTCCTCCCAAACATAAACATGTTTTTAATGTTTCATTATGCCCGATTTATTGATGTAGATGTGCTATTTTTAGTCATATATCTATGATAGAATTATTTATAGAATGCTGCATAAACATCTGGTCCAATTTTCTTTTCATTTTTGTTTTGAATTGTTTTATAAAGATGTTAGGGCCATCTTACATGTCCTCGTAGCTACATCTCTCTCTCTCTCTCTTTTTGTTTTGTTTGTAATTAAACTTTATTATAATAAAGTTTTTTAAACAATCACAGCGAGTTGCTATGATTCACCACCAGGTGGCAGCCTAACAACAGATGAATGAGGTAAGAAAGCAGACTGAGTTTTCTTGGAAGAATCAACCTGCCCTGCTTTCTTTACTCTGCTGGTTTTAGAGAGTCATGTGGAGGATGGAAGCAGCTCAGGCCTGAGATCAGGCTCACTTCCAGCAGATTCTTTCTGCTCGCAGCCATGATGGAGCCAAACCTGCTCCTCCTCATCCAGATGTTGGATTGAAGCCTCTTTGAAACCATCAGACACTTTTAAGAGAACACAGGAAGCTTTATTTTGATCATGATTTGATTATTTGATCTTTATTTTTAGTTTACTAAAGCTTCAGATGTCACAGACTCTGCTCAGACCTCAGACGGGTGAGCAGCGGTGTCAGGATCAGGATCCACTCTGGTTCCTGGTGAAGAACATCACCTCAGACCATTTTTCTGCAGAGAACCAGGGACCCATAAAGCCTGCTGCTCCTCCTTCAGGCTGACACACAGTGGCGCTGTGGCAGCTGCAAACCGAGTTTAGAAACTGGAGCAGCTCTTACATGTCTTTAAAGTTGGAGCAGGAACCAGTTTGTTGCCTAGCAACAGGAGATAACAGCTATCTCTGTATGAGGGGTGAATGGTGTCCTCATCAGGGGTGGTAGAACGAAGCAGAACCACAGAGTTCTACTTTTTTGTTGTTGTTTTCACTGTAGATCCTGCTTGTTTTCTTCACGATTCCCTTTATTTAGGGTTCGTTCTGACTGGATCCAGCATATTTCTGACATTACGCTCCGCAGAACCATTAAATACCCCCAGAGAATCCATCAGAGACCCCCCTAAGATCCTGGGAGATACCCCGAGACGATCTGAGACCATGAGAGACCTTAAGAGACCCTCTGAAAGGACCACCAGAGAACACCAGACTTTCTGAGACCACTGGAGACTGACCAAGACCACCAGAGAACTTTTGCAAAGACCGCCAGAGACTATAATAGACATTCTTAGACAATCAGACACTTCCATAGATCTACTGAGAGCAGAGAATCCATCAGAGACCCCCCTAAGATCCTGGGAGATACCCCGAGATGATCTGAGACCATGAGAGACCTTAAGAGACCCTCTGAAAGGACCACCAGAGAACACCAGACTTTCAGAGACCACTGGAGACCGACCAAGACCACCAGAGACCTTCTGCAAAGACCG